GTGTGTGTGTGTGTGTGTGTGTGTGTGTGAATTGATTCATTCACCTTTAGCTCCCTCCAATAAGTGAGAACATGTGGTATTTCTTTTTCTCTGCCTGACTCGTTTCACTTAATATTATTCTTTCATGGTCCATCCATGTTGTTGCAAATGGCAGTATTTCATTCGTTTTTATAGCTGAGTAGTATTCCATTGTGTAGATATACCACATTTTCCGTATCCACTCGTCCGATGAAATATTAAATTTCTATATATTGAAATCTTTTCTTTTCCACCATCATTTCTTCTTTTTCTTTTATTCTTAGGAAGGTTTTCTTTGAGATAAGACACACAGCCAACTATATTTGATTTTATATTTTTATGGCTTTTTAAAAATTTAACTCTAGTCATTCTTGAATTTATTTTGGTGTTTTGGGGGAGGTGTCTAAGTCTATTTTTCCACCAAATAATTAACCTAGTATCTTAGTGTCTCAGCATCATTTTTCAATGATCTGTTCTTTCCCCACTGATCTGAAAAGAACGTCTTTATTAAATACCAAATATATATACAGTCATACACCACATAACAATGTTTTTGTCAATGGCAGATAGCATATTGCATATGCAATGGTGGTGCCATAAGATTGTAATGGAGTTGGAGGTGTGTAGCAGGCTGTACCACCCAGATTTATGTAAGTACACTCTATGATGCTTCCACAATGATGAAATCACCTGACACATTTCTTAGAACATATACCCGTCATTAAGTGATACATGACTATATACACACACACATATATACACATACTAATGGGTGTGTGTGTGTATGCATATACTGTGTCTCGTCCTTTGAACTTTATTTTTTTTGTGGTGGCTGGCTGGTATGGGAATCCGAACCCTTGACCTTGGTGTTACATGGTGGTCTGTTCTTATACCCACCTAACATTTGATTCTAGCTTTATAACACATTTTAATAAATGCACTGCAAGTTATCACTCATTATTCATCTTTTCCTAAACTTTCTTGGTAGTCATCACCTGTGTATTCTCAGTTGAAACTTTATAATCTAATTTCCTATTCCTTTGAGTCCCACATGTACTTCCTTCAATTTGATTTTGTGAGACTTACCATATAACTTCACAATTCATTCTTCCTTTTTAACCTAGTTTGAGTAAATTTCTATTCCTCAGGGTTTTATTTCAGTTCTCTTTTCTCTCTCCACTACCTCTTCCATGATTTTATCTAAACATCTGACATCTATTATCTTTAGGAAGAAGATACAGATTGATATCATAAAAAAGCTAACATTTATTGCTTACTGTGTACTTGGTGGCATTATCTTATTTAAATCTCTTTAAAACCCTACAAGATAGAAAATAGTATCAACTTCATTTTAAAGATGGGGGAACCTAGGCTTGGAGAGGTCAAGTAACTTGTCCAAGGTCTCAGAGCTACCGCATGGTAAGAGGATTCAAATTCTGTTCTGACATATCTGCCATGCTATGCTATATAGCACTTAAAAGAAGGAAAAGTGAATATTGAATAGTCTATCTGCTTTAAAATGGAAAATTATAGCAACCATAGATACAGACTTGTTTTTGGAATTGAAAATGACACAAGAACCAGTATGCTGTACTAAGGGAAAGCTGGGGCACAGCCTTAAAGGCACTGGCTCGACTGCTTAGGTTTGAATTCTAGTTTACTGGTTTTGTCACCTGGTTCAGATCATTAGATGATATAATTAGGTGATATATAATTAGTTGTTAACTGATCAGTAATTAATGGTTAATGGCAGATGATATAATCCACGTTACAGCACTCTCCACAGTGCCTGGCATATATCGATTCCAAGATGTATATTTTTTTCACATTTTAACATCTTTGAAATCAGTAGGCCTCTCATGAGCACAGTTTAGTTGGCAGTATTTACCTTATAATTGATGGCATCTTAGATTTGATGAAATAGGGTATTAGGTGCTTAATAAATGTCTAGCTATTACACAAGATGACCACTCATTATTTATTCTGTGTGAACTATGTGCCAGGCACTGTTCTAGGAACTGAAACAGAGTATTAAACACAGCAACGATTCCTGCTGTCATGAAGCTTACCTTCTAGTGGGAAACATACATGAAACACAGACAAACAAGTAAAATATATAGTATGTCAGATGGTGGTAATAAGTGAAACAGGGTAAGAGGAATGGAAAGTGGTGGGGGGTGCTATTTTGAATAGGGTGGTCAGGGAATGCCTCCCTGACAAGGTGACAATTAAAAACAGACCTGATTGAGGTGAGAGGGTGAACTATGAACATAGCTGGGGGAAGATCTTTCCAGCAAGTGCAAGGGCCTTGAGGTTAGGGCACCTTTAGGGTCTTTGAGGAGTAGCAAGAGGGCCTTTATGGCTGAAGTGGGGTGAGTACAGTAAAGTAATAGATGGAGTTGGGGGGGGTGGAGGGTGTGCCAGATTATGGTTGGAAACTTTAAATACGCAGGTATTTCTTGAAACCCTTCCAAAAAGGCTCTAGATTTGGGAGTAGGAACTGTGTATTGGGGCTCAGACCTACCTAGCAAGGATTGCTAAGTGTCATGGCTATCCTGCACTTAAATCTAAGGGACGACTGGGGGTAAGGATGGCATTAATTTAAGGAAAGTGAGGAGAGAGACGGTTCCATTTAGTCTCTTAAGCACACTAATGCATGGTCAAAATGATTCATGGTGCAGAAGAGTTTGAGGGCAGAATGATAATGATACGTGATCAGAATAACTAGCTGAGGCTACCCTGCAAAAAGTGACATTCAGGGCTTAACATTAATGATGAGGTACAGAGCAAACTGGCCTTGGTTTTGATCTTTCTAAAGTCATGCTGTCACAACATCCGTCTGCCTCTCAAGTGGGCCAGACAAAACTTATTTTAAGAAAACTGAAGAATATTTATAAGGTGACTACTTACAGGAAAGAAGAGTACAGAAGTCAGGTTTTTGTAACCATTTAATGTAAGGAATATGCTTTTAAAAAAATCAACTGTTTCTTAGAAGGGCATAGTGGTTAAAGAGCATGGTCTTTGGAAGCACACAGAGCTGGGCTCAAATGTCAGTTTTGCCACTTACTCCAATGTGACTTTGGTTAAGTAACCAATTCAAGCCTCAGTTACCTCATCTGTAAACTGGGGATGATACCACCCAACCTTAGAGAGTTGCTGTGAATATTAAATGAAATAATGTGTATGAAGTGCACAGCAAGGGAACTGCTCAATTAGACTACAGCTGCTTTTCCTACTAAAAGTGCATTGTATACCAAGATTTCCTGTTCACGACGCATACCTCTTGAAATAAGGGAGCCCAAATTTACACTGCTGACAAAAATACAGACAGTAAAAGCAAAGGAAAAGAAAAACATTTCCTCAGAGTTCTAAAGGCAGTTCTAGCATTCAAAGAGCATACACATTGAACTTAAAAAGTTTAATCTCCAAGGTGACTTTTTCGATACACAGAAACCCTCACAGCAACATATACAGAACCGCTCTTGCTATCAGTAATCTTAAAGTGCTTTCAGAGGCCCTGTGAGGTGCACAGTTGTGAAGTATATTCAGTGAAAGAGCTGAGACAAGACAGACAGGTTCTATTGAGGCCCCCTCACCAGTCACACAAATGCAAAGTAAGGACAATTTTTGACTTAATTAAAAGCTATTAAACGTGTAACAATCAGAAAGTGAAACTCCATCATTCAGGAACTATTCAATTCCTCCTCCCACCAAAAATACCCCTTAGGTAAAAGATTGTGTTATGTATGTGTTGTCATTTAACCCAAACATATAAAAATTGTGCATTGGACTGGGTTGTAAGGAATTTAAAGGAATTTCCAAAAATGGTTAGCTCCTCCTGCCCCTGCCATATCCCTGAGGTATATCTTGCTCAAAATGGAATGAACTTCAACAAATGAGTAAAGTTCACCAATAAAAACAGAAATATGCTGGAAGTACATTTATTAAAATGCTCTTACATTTGTTAGATCTCCATATTTTGTCTTCAATGTTTTCTTGGAATTTTCAATACCATGTAGTCTCCATATCTGAAGTGCCTGTACTAAAAGTTCTAGTGCCTTCCTAATGATGGGACTTGGTTAAGTTGGAGACATATGAGATCATATGATTCCTGCTGACAATTCAAGGACTAGAATTTAAGGAACTTAGATTACACAAATCAAGCTAAACTCTTCAGGCTGAACATATAGAATAAAAAATGAAGTTATCCATAGTGGCATAGAACATATGATCTTTATTATTTTTCAATCCATCAATCTAAAATCACACATATCAAATCAAACAGGAGTACCACAGTATGCTTTATTTTGCAGGTATTAATTAGTTCACTAAAGTGATATATCCCAAACTTAAGGTAGCAGCAAGCATCAGTTCTTCCAAAGAAGCTTAGGTGAAAAATAATTCCTATGAGTTCAAAGTCCTACTGATCCACTTTTGTGTGTGTGTGTGTGTGTGTGTGTGATCCACTGTTTTACTGACATAAAAATGAACTCAGTGAGCAAAGTTAATTGAACACTCAGTCCATAGACTTTGAGCTTCCTGTATTTTATTGGAGTTGAAGCAGCTTTTGTTTGAACCCTCTGTTAATATTTTATATTTTAATCCTCAAAGAATTAAACACACGTTTACTAATTTCTAAGGTAAAGCCATGATACCTAATGAAGAGTTAGTGATATTAATCTCCTACCCAAAAGGTAGAAAACTTTTAAATGAACCCATAATTGTGAATGTATCTGAATTTTTAATTCATATATTTAGCGAGGTCACAAGCTGATTTAACTAATGTGACTTCTAGACAATCATCTCAAAAATATGTATTGAAATGAAGCCACTGTTCTTTATGGTGCCATCATTTTGACCAAATGCCTTTTACCAAATAACAAATAAAGCAGATGTTCTCAAAAGAGAACGTTTTAAAATAAAACATTCTTTATATACTTAGCAAGTAGAGGAGAGCTTGAATCTGTGAGTTAGAGCTGCAGAATTCTAAAGGAGATGTAATTGAGCAATCTGACTTTCTACTCCAGTTTGGAACGTATGATTTCGAGATGCACATATAGATAGGATAGTAAAGAAAGATGCTGATGAATTTTCTTTCTTTTTAACAAAATTTTGTAATTCCAGTTATTGGCAAAGAGTTCTGGCATCAGCTAATGGCAGCAATACAGTGGTGAGCATCTACATTGTGCTGAGAGGTAGACTGGGACTTAATCCTTGGGTTTAATAACAAACTAACTTTTTTTCATGGTTTAGGCTTAATTTTTTAATCCAAGGAAAATTTCTAAAGTAAAGGCAAATCTTTGGGAACTTTTGTTTTTAGTTAAATGTAAAGATAAAATAGTTTTATAAAATAAACACATGCCTCATGCTAATGACAGGTGTGCAAAGCAGCCATTTGGGCTCTAGACAACCAAATAAAAGAGCAATTCAGCAGTTTCCAAATAAAAGGGCAATTCAGCAGCTGAACCAATCAAGCAGACACAGAAATAAGTGGCCTCTAGCACCTTACTCCAGAAGCCAGAGACATTAGAGGGTCCTACAGGGATATAAGTCTATATCAAGATCAACAAATTTACAGAATAATCCTGGTCCAGCTTTGGCTAGGCAGCCATCTCACAGATGACATGTCAGGGCCCACTAGCCTCTAGAGTCAGCACTTGCTGCTGTGGGAAAAAAAGAACTCAATGCATCAAAAAATACCAATTAGGATTTATCCATATAGGGAATGGGAGAGTGCAGGAGACACACAGAGTATATAGAAGTGTTTTATAAATACAGGATGAATTAATTTTCTGAACAAGTTAAGGCTCTAAGGAAAAAAATATATAAATCATAACCTTAAAAAACCATAACCCATTCTGATTTAGATTTAGGTGTTGATTTAACACCCTAAAAAAAAATCTGAAGGTCTTACTTTTATCTGTCACCACAGATGACAGGTCTGAGATAATCAACATATTCCACAGTCCAGAAGGCAAAAAAAGACACCCTTCTTAAAATATAGCAGCCACTAACAGTAATGGAGAAAACAGCCAGACTTTTGCTATTAAATATAATATTTTGAAGCCATTTCTTTTTTAACTAGCAGAAAAACACAGATGTAAATAATCTTGATTAGGAGGTAGGGAAAGGAAGTTTTATTATAAACCAATGTTTGCCACCAGTGAAAATGAATTCTTTATGTTCTTGAATTTATTTTCTGAAGCAAGTTAAATTCTCTAAAAGCTTCGATTTTGCAAATAATACCAAAGTAGCAAAATACAAGTAACCGCAACATATAAAATTATACTTCTGTAGAAATGATTTCATAATTGGATTCAGAGGCTTAAAATCATTATTTACTTAAAAAAAATATTCCAAACCACAATTTTTCTTTCATTTACACTTTAACAAAGGAAGAAAAAGGAAAAGAGGAAAAAAACTGGTCCTAATACATTTTTTTTTAAATAAGTGCTACTCATGCCCAAGTTAGCTAGCAACTCAATGAGGTTAGTCTGCATATCTTAAACCATCTATTGCACAGCATTTCCTGGCTTTCAGCCAACGGAAACATAACTTCTGATTGCAAAAAAAAAAAAAGAAAGAAAAAAGCACTATATTTAATTAATTATACAGACTGATAACCAGTACGACTTTTCCTTCTTCCAATCATATAAGAGATAAAGACAACAACGATAAGGAAGCCCAAGGCCACACCCACTGCAACAGGAATAAGAAAGTTGAGGTCAGTGTCAGCAGAACATTCTTCAGCTGTTAGAAAAGAACAAACAGAGAGCAAAGACAGGAAATTAGTAAAGAATGCAATTAGGTAGCAATGAGCAAACAAGTAACAAGCATTTTGAAATTATACATAGGTTAGTCTTTCATAGTATTACCCCTACTCTTTTTATGTTCTCAATATCTACTCAAATATTTCTTTTTTTTTTTTTTCCCCCTTTTTTTGTCTTTTTTCGTGTCCGGCAACGGATCGCAACCCTCAGTGTCGTGCCCGTACCGGATGGGGACCGGCAACGGGATCGCAACCCTCGGTGTCGCGTCCGCACCTCGCTCAGCCAGTGAGCAGGAACCAGTCCGTATGTGGGATCCGAACCCTCGGCGGGAGCACCGCCACACTCCCAAGCGGCTCACTGTAGCAGTGCGCCACCGGGCTGGCCCCTCTACTCAAATATTTCTAAGCAACTGATCATCCTACATCTCTGTCACTTCATCTAAAATCACACTGAATTCCTCAGTACATAAAGCAGAAGTTAAGGGAAGAATGGGAAAGGGTCCAAAATACAGAATTGTGCTTGCCTAATATGGGAAGATTTTAGTTTAATTGTCTAATGGCACTGGGGAAAAGAGCTATTGTCTACACTTAAAACCACTGCCTGCGTATTTCTCCACTCCCTTTCTCCCTTGCCATATCTATCATTAAAGTATAAATAAGAATTCCATATAAGTAATAAAATCTAAGTTAAAAGACTTTGGACCAAGAAAATGCAGTATAATTTTTTTCACACAGGCATTAAGGTAGCTATCAGGTTATACACAATTATTTTTAGATGAGCAGTGGCCTGGAAGAACAGCAGAATCAAATATGTTTTAGTTCATTCCGCTGGACCACCAGGAAGGCAATGCGTGCAATGTAGATTGTGAGCTCTGGATTCAGACAGTACTGAGTTTGAATCTTGACTCTTTCAAGTACTAGCTAAATGACCTTGGTCAAGTTATTTAAACTAGGACTTATTTTCCTCATCTGGAAAAGGGGATAATAATACCTATATTATAAGCTATTTGAGGATTAAATACAACTATATTTCTATAGCATCTGACACACATCAGGTGGTCAACAAGTGTTCATTCCCTTCTCTTTTCCTCCCATGTTCATGATCCCATTTGAGAAGGTTTAGGTTATGAAGAAGCAAACCGAGATCAAAAGAGGAGTGTTTCAGTATATTATTATCAAAAAATCCAGCATTCAGTACTTTTAAAATACTTAAGCAAAATGTAGTTAGTACAGAAGCTCAAAGTGTCCAATTCTGATCTGATAATTTCAAGTTTAAACTAGCATTTGTTTTACTGTTGAGTGACTAGATTTCATGGGGCAATTTTTTCTTTTTTTTTTTTTTTTGACTGGTAAGGTGATCTCAACCCTCAGCACAGTGTTGTCCGCACCACGCTCATCCAGTGAGCACACCGGCCATCCCTATATAGGATCCAAACCCGCAGCCTGGGCGCTACCAGCACCGCACTCTCCCGAGTGAGCCACGGAGCCAGCCTGCGGCAATTTTTATCAAAATGGTTTTGTTGTCCACTAGATGTGTAACCTCAGTGAAGTCACAACCCCTTCTATAAAATTATGAAGTGAGAGCAAATAATCATTAAAGTTATTTCCAGTATAAGGAAATGTGATATTTGGTGTGATTTACGACTGAGCAATAACTTCCATTTTTCCTCTAATTTTAACTTTTCCTCCTCTTGCACTTTTGTCATTCATAAAAAAGTTGTTAATGGGCTGGCTGGTTATCTTAGCTGGTTAGAGCTCAGTGTTATAACACCAAGGTCAAGGGCTTGGGTCCCAGTACCAGCCAGCTGGAAAAAAAAAAAAAAAATTCTAAGGTTCTGAGTATAGAACATGAATTTACTGAAAGCTCTCAGACTCAGTACTGGGTACCAAGATACACTGTACTTGTTAATAAGTTACAGAAATTCTAAAACAAGCCAATACACACATAAAATGAATTAATAAAATTATCACTTCAATATGAAAGTCTTCTCATCTATTAAGCTTCCTTATTTATCTATACTCTCAATATCTGTGTTGCACTTTTACCATGGAATATGCGTCAATAAGGGCTGATTATCTAGCTCATTTTAATGCCAACAGCTTCTCTCTACACCCCATCTATGCTCGGCCCCACAGGGGCTATTCTGAAGAAGAAAGAGCCTAGTTGCTATGCTTCACTGCCTCCCTTCTGAGATTGCTATTAGCTTACATTTCATAAGTACCAGTCTGATGACAACACTAAATAGATTTTAATGCTCCAGAGATCAACAAGATGAGGTAGAGAAACACAACACAATCTGTCCTAATTAGTTCACAGAATATTTCTATCTTTCAATGCTAATCAGGCATCCAAAGAAGAGTAAAACACAAGAAAAAAAAAGGCAAGTAGTTAAATATGCTTGGATCTTTTCAGTCTATATTGCTGAAAAACAATTCTTATAAACATCCTTAATTCTGAAGCCAGTTCAAGTTCTGGTGTAGCCTCTTGGGTCTATTTTTTTATCTAGGGAAAAATCACAAGCCTGCAATACTGACTTCATCCTTAACTTGAACTCAAAGAAATCAACAAAAGTCGCATAACCTTAAAAATGCTGATGGTCCTGAGGACAGTCTCTACCTTATTCAACTGAAAACCAAGTTTGAGCATATCTGATGGGCATTTATGCCACATCAATATTTATTTAATGAACTATATGCACAGTGATGAGTTTAAATCAGGATAGTTTTTATACATTGAAACAGAACACTGGTAGTGAAACAATATTTATTAATTCCATTAAGACACACTACATATTTTATTCTTATAATGGCCATGTTAATAAGTTTCAGGCATCTTAGGATAAAAATTTGGCCAAGGCTTCTTAAGATATACCTTAAAACACACTGCACAACAATGTTCTTTTTAACAAGTTTGTCTTCAGGACAAGTAAATACAACAATTTTTATTTTAAGCTGATCAGAGAGCAGTTTTTATTAATAAAGACTGATCTCAAAATGCTGGGATTAACTTAAGAATTAAAGTTTCAGGAGGGCAGCCCCCTCCACCCAGAAGCAGGCAAGAGAGCATGCCTGGGGTCCTAGGCAGGAGCCAAAGACAGCCCCCTCCACCTGGAAGCAGGCAAGAAAGCACACTGAAAACACCACTTCCATGCAGGTGACCCACCACAGCTGCTCCCACAGCCATGGCTGCAGCAAAAGTGGCTCAACACCCCAGCAGTAGTCACAGCCACCATGAAAGTGGCCTGCCAGACACCCTACTGCATTAAAACAAGGAGACTGGAAAAAGAGGACGTCTCTCTCCTCAAAGCCCACTCCAAAGTAATAGAAGAAAAAACTGCTCTACCAGATGACCTGACATCAACATGGAGGTACTAGAAATATGAAAACCTAAGAAAAAATGACATCACCAAAAGAATACAGTAATTCTCAAATACCAGACCCTACAGAGCAGGAAACGCTTGAAATGACTGAAAAGGAATTCTGAGCAACAATCTTAAGAAAGGAAACTCACCAAGATATGAGAAGACTCAGTTTGACAACATAATGAAATGAGAAAAAAAAATCCAGGAACTGAAGGAGGAAATTTACAAAGAGATTGTACCTTAAAAAAGAATGTAGCAGAACCCATGGAACTGAAAGATTCACTCAGTGAAATAAAAAACAACAACCAATAGCTTAAGCAGCAGGCTAGAAAGAGGAGAAAAAGAATTTCTGATCTTGAACATAATCTTTTCAAAATAACCTAAACAGACAAAAAAAAGGAAAAAAGAATTTAAAAATGAGGAAAATCTAAGAGAGCTAGCAGACAACCTTACCTGCACAAACATTTGAACCACAGGTGTTCCAGAAGGGGAGGAGAGAGGAAAAGGCATTGAAAACCTATTCAATGAAATAATAATGGAAAACTTCCTAGGTACAGGGAGAGACACAGACCTTCAGATCCAGGAGGCTCAAAGATCCCCAAACAGATTCAACCCAAAAAGATCCTCTCCAAGACACATTATAGTCAAACTGGCAAAGCTCAAAAAGAAAGAGAAAATCTTAAAAGACACAAGAGAAAGTGTCAAGTCACCCAAAAGGGAGCCCCTATCAGAATAACAGCAGACTTCTCAACAGAAACTAAACAGGTCAGAAGAAAACGGGACAATATATTCAAAATACTAAAAGTAAAAAAACTGCCAGCCAAGAATACTATACTCAGCAAGGCTATCCTTTAGAAATGAGGGAGAAATAGTATATTTTCCAGACAAACAAAAACTGCGGGAGTTCACCACCACACAACCATCCATACAAGACACCCTCAAGGTAGTCCTGCATCTGGAATCCGAAAAGCGATAATCACTACCACAAATACACAAGAGAGAACAAAACCCACTGGTAGAAAAAAACGCAATTGAGAAAGAGAAACTAAATCTTACCACCGCAAAAAAAACATAATGACAATGTACTAATACCCCTGCTTTATTTCTGATTTTAGTAATTTCTGTCTTCTCTCACCTTGGTCAGTCTAGATAAAGGTCTGTAGATTTTGTTGATCTGTTTAAAAAATCAACTTTTGGTTTTGTTGATTTTCTCTATTTTTTAATTTGCTATTCTATATACTTCTGTTGTAATCTTTTTTATTTCCTACTTATATTTGCTTTTGGTTTAGTTTGCTCTTTTTCTGTTTTCTTAAGGTAGAAGTTTACATTACTGATTTGGGATTTTTCTTATTTTTAAAACAGATGTTTACAAGTATGAATTTTCCTCTAAGCACTGCAACAGCCCTTCATCCTATAAATTTTGATATGTTGATTTTTATCTTGAAGTACTCTAATTTCCCTGTGATTTTTCTTTTTACCCATTATTTAGAAGAGTACTGTTTAATTTCCACACATTTGTGAATTTTCTAAATTTCCTTCTGTTACTGTGGTCAGAGAACACATTTTCTGTGATCTTAGTCTTTTTAAATGCATTAAGACTTGTTTTATGGCCAAAATTT